AGGGAAGAAGAAATCTCAGAATCTTCTAGAAGACCAAAGAAAAAAAACTTTAGGACTTGGAACATAGCTCAGCTGACAGAGTGCCTCCCTGGCAAGCAGGAAGCCCTGGGATTCAATCCCCATCCTGAATCACTATGCTGGGCAACACATACCATAATCCCAGCACTCCAGAGTTAGGAACAGGAGAATCAGAAGTTCGAGGTCATCCTCAGATACACATCAACCAGGAGGCCAGCCTGGGACACATAACACACACACACACACACACACACACACACACACACACACACACACACACACAGTGTGTGTCTATATAAATAAAATCTCAGAAAGAGCCGGGTGGTGGTGGCGAACACCTTTAATCCCAGCACTCAGGAGGCAGAGCCAGGCAGATCTTTGTGAGTTCGAGGCCAGACAGGAACCAAAAACTACATAGAGAAACCCTGTCTCAAAAAAACACAAACAAAACAAAAAAACAGAAAGAGGTAGAAAGGAAAAGGAAAAAAAGAAAGGTACTTTTGTAAATTTCTTTTTCCTGAAGTATGGTTTTTAACCTAATGGAGTAGATAATCTGAAATGGAGTAGCTCCAGGAATGTCACACTCCCTTTGCCAGTTCAAGTGAATTCTGCAGCCAGCTTCAGGATTTGGCTCCTCCACAGAACCCACCTGAAATGTGCTCAGAGCTTCTGAGATAAGTCATGTCACATCCCACATCCACATACATAAAGCATGACCGGCCTTACATGTTAGTCCTTTACCTGGCCCTCCTGTGGGAGGGGAGATCCTCCAAATGGAAGCAGAATCGAGCTACTTTTTCCTTGAAAACTAGGTTGGAGTCAGACATCCCCAGAGCAGAGGAATGCTTACTTATCTTGACAGATGTCATACCTCTGCTTAGAGCAGTAAATACGGGGTGTCCCAAATACTGCGTGGAGCATACTTAGTCTTTACAAATTGTTTTCTGTCTCAAACTCAAATTTAACTAGGCACTTTGTTTTTTGTGTTTTTGGAATCGAAATCTTCTTGAGTTAACAATATCCAAGGCCCTTTTGTAGGGAACAACCTATAACGTCTCCACGGACATCTAAACCGCTTCAACAGAAGGACTAGGAAAGGCAGGTGAAGCGTCAGGGATCTGAGCCATAGAGGGAGAGAGACAAGGCAGTTCCTTCACTCTTTAATTGTGGAGAGGTAGAGGTGGGGCTGGTGGCATTCCAATGAGGGACTAGGAGTTTTAAACTACCTGTCTCCCTCGCTGTCCCCCAAAGGTGGATGATGAGAGAATCACTACTTTTGCGAGACCCTCGCGTTCAGCCTGGACGCAGGCCAGCGGGAGCGGAAGGAAGCACCCCATTGGTCCCAGCCCAGGCGAGGTGCAGGCCAAGGGGCGCCGGTTCTCGGATCCCACCAGCGGCCTAGGCTCCGCCTCCGGCTCCGCCCCCTTTGTTATCCGATACTTCTCTGGGTCAGCTGGTTCTGGCGTCAGGCGGAGGGATGGGCTGGCTCAGCTCGACCCGGCAGGGCTTGTTTACTATGGCTGATGATCTGGAGCAGCAGTGAGTTACTCCTGTCCGTTTCTCTTTCTCTTTCTGTCTGTCTGTCCGGGCCAGGATCCGGGGACTGTCTGTGGTTGCGGACAGCTTCAGACTTCCCCGCCTTTCCTTTTCAGGTTGGCTTCTAGGGAGGGATGGGGTGCTCTGAGGAGGCTGCGGAGCTGGGGGAGCGCTGAGGGATGTGCTTGTGTGCAGCCTGGGAATTCTGACTTTCCATTTAGTCTTCGCGATCGCCCCTTGGTGGTAGCGCAGTTTGATTGGTGGTAATGTGCGAGGGATAAGCTTGCTCTTCCCGCCCCCAAAGCAGGCTTGAGAGACTCGGACGTGGGGGGCAGCAGCCGGGTGTTTGTCGACACTTGCCCCGGGACTAGAGTCGTGAGTCTGAAAGGCCCTGAAGAAGAAGGCGTGGGAAGGAGAGAGAAGTCTCCACTGCGCTGAGATTAGTGTGGAACTGGTTTGCAAGTTCTTTTAGCCCTTGGCCTCCTTGACACGTTCTGCTTGCAATTCAAATTTATATTTTTAATCACTATAAACACGTGCTTACTGCCGTGGTTTCAGAATTAAGTTTGTTAGATTGGGGGGGGGGGCGTTATGCTTACCCAAGGGCATCAAGTTTGGGATGCCACCTGTGGGTGGTATGATGACAGTCTAAACAGATCAGGAAAAAGTTGCTTGTAGGAGAATGACTCAGCTCCGAGGGTTCATGGAACAGGGCCTCCTTCCCTTGACCTAATAGTTGTCCTTTTGGCAGAAGGAATTAACTTTGTAACAATAGTAAATAATAGCTTGGGGGACTTGAAGGAAGTGCTCAAGAGAGTATTGCTTTCTAAGACAAAATTTACGATGCCTGCAGAGACTGGGCAAACAGCATTACAGCCAGAAAAGATGCAGGCCATTCAGCTCCGTTTTACAAGTAAAGCAGCAGATGCTGGTGCCCGTAGAAATTCAGAGACTTGCTCAAGATTACAGGAGTCTAGAACAGGTTCACGAGGATGAGGCACCACCCCGGCCAGGCCAAGTTCGTGGTTAAGGGGCTTTGTGCAGTTTGCCTCACTTTCCCATCTCAGCTCTTCCCTCCCTAATAGCACAGGCACACAGTGTGACAGGCACCATGGCCTGTTCAGTAACATGGGCACACAGTGGGACAGACATCATGGCCTGTTCAGTAACATGGGCACACAGTGTGACAGGCACCATGGCCTGTTCAGTAACGTGGGCACACAGTGGGACAGGCACCATGGCCTGTTCAGTAACATGGGCACACAGTGGGACAGACACCATGGCCTGTTCAGTAACATGGGCACACAGTGGGACAGACACCATGGCCTGTTCAGTAACATGGGCACACAGTGGGACAGACACCATGGCCTGTTCAGTAACATGGGCACACAGTGGGACAGGCACCATGGCCTGTTCAGTAACGTGGGCACACAGTGGGACAGGCACCATGGCCTGTTCAGTAACATGGGCACACAGTGGGACAGGCACCATGGCCTGTTCAGTAACATGGGCACACAGTGGGACAGGCACCGTTCTCTTTCGGGACCGGTTTTTAGAGAAGAAAGGCAAAGGTGTACACATAGCTCCCTGGACCCCCCACCCCCACCACCTTTCAGGACTGTGTGGATCACGCTGCTCTCTGTAGGACAGCATTTCTCTTGAGCTTGCTGTGGATAGTTACAGAGATATGTGGGGGTCAGGTGTCATGATCTGACTTGTTATAGTCTCTACAATGCAGAGGCAATTTGTCATCTAAGACTGGCCAAGATCTGTGGTCCTGGTTCTAGTGCTTCATCCAACAAGGAATTCTGGAAGACTGTTAAAAGAGTCCTGGATGTCCCTAGGATTTGATTGGTTGAGACTGACAGCTTTCATCTGACCAAAGCCATTGGCATACCACTCACACAGCAACGCTGGTTTTCTTTCAAACCTCAAACTTTCGTTGAGAGTAGCTACTTAAAAATAGTAATAATATATACAGGTAATGCTCCAGCTGAGGGAAAGTTATGTTGATTTGGGGGTTATTGGTGCTAAGCATTGTTCTATATGCTTTAGATGTTAACTCACAAGTTTTTAGAAACTTGTGAGGTACATATAATTACCTCCCATTTGAGGCTGAAGAAACTGACTCAGAAAACTAATGTACCACAACCTCATTGCTGGTAAGTGGCCTTGCTGGAATTAGAACTCTAGTTTCTGGCTTTAGATTACATTCCCTTCAGAAAAGAGAAACTAATGAAATGTGGTGATATACAGGAATGTTCAGATATGGTCTCAAAAAGCTGAGGCTGGAAGATCCACGGAAGAGGCATCCTTTTCCTAACTTGCTGGTGACCTCTCGGGGTATCAGACTGCTCACCTGTGAAGTAGAGGCTAGACTATGTGATTTCCAAGAAAACATCCTAATTAATCTAAGATCTGTGCTTCCCATGATGCTCGGGGTGCCCACTGTGTATGCTATGAGTAGCTGGGATGGTTCCTCCACAAGGTGTCCTTGTCTTCTCATGCTCATACCCACAAGCCCTTGCTGCAGCTCCTGGGAAACACCCTATAGCCCTCACCTAGGCAGAGTTCACACAAAGGGAAATAACGTGAAAAGACAGGGAAGGCAAAATAAAAGCGGTAATTGATTGAACCATTAAACTTGTGGCAGGCACCCAACAAGGTTCCTTTCATTCCTAGACCTCAAAGCCAGTCTCCTTATCAGTGGCAAGTCTGGGATTCAGATCCAGGAGTTCTGTTTACTCCAGAACTAGGGCTTGTAACCTCGATGGCTTAGTCACTGGGTGTGAAGGAGAAAGCAGGATGAGTTACCAGTTTTCCTCTAGGACATAGGTAAGCTTCCTTCTCACTTTACAACCTAAAAAATAGGCCAGAGGCAACTTGTGTCTCTTGGTGGACCATAGGACTTGAACCCGAATAACACACCCCTACTCCCTGCCTACCCCAGTTCAGAGCTAGTGGATTTCACAATCAGGGACTAACAGCAGCCTCTACTTCCAGAAGGGTGGAAGACAACAGATGGCGTGGGAATTTGTCTCTCCTACCCTACAAAGGACAGCTAGTTCTGGGGGTGGAAAGAATAATAGAAATATTAAAGTCACTCCCTCTCCTTTTGGAATCTCCTTGAACATAAATTCTGATAACCAGTAACAAAGGGGAATTAGTTGTAAAGCTCCAGGAAGATAATAAATGCAAAGAAGTCAAGTTTTGTGTACATGGTCTTCTGATATCTGCTAAGGGCCATTGTTGTTAATAGCTATTTGCCCAAGAAGAGTAACAGTATATCAGACTGCTGAGGCATTGCTGACGCCGAAGGCCATGAAGACCAGGCTTGCTGAGGCTGGGGAACACCTTGTCCCCCGATAACTCGTGGAGCTGTCGGCAAGGCTGAGAACATGTGCTTCCTTCTCAGTGTGGCCAACAAGTGCTTCTCTGTCTTGTAGGCCTCAGGGCTGGCTGAGCAGCTGGCTCCCAGCTTGGCGCCCTACTTCCATGTCTCATCTGAAGAATGTGGAAGCCAGGATCCTCCAGTGTAAGTAGAGGGGACAGTTTGCTCCCCCATTCAAAAAGTCTAGAAAGGATGGAAGATCTTCCCCAAGCTGGGTCCACTGTGCCAACTGATGCCTGATGAGCAGTGCATGGGCCAGAGGAAAGAAAATCAGTTGGTTTGAGGGGAGGGACAGACAGAGGACACAGTATTCCACGACAGAGGTCCCTCAACTCCCTAGCCCTCTGGTAGCCCCTTCCACATCCTACAGCTTCACCTCAAACGCTATACATTCCACTGTGCATTAATGCACACAGATATTTCAGTCCTCCATCTTTTCCCTGTCTCTTCATTTTTCCCTCTCTTCTAAACACATAGATCAGCACATTCTAATTCACCACCTTCCTACCCGAGTGTCATCAATCCTGTGTTTTCTGTTCCCTGCCTTCTACGCAGGTGTAAGCCTACCAGCTGTCTGGTTACCACATTTGGAGTTCACACAGACCAGAACTCATGAGCAATATTGAAGAAGGGTGACCCATGAACAGCAATAGCCTTTGGTTCAAACAAGACCCTGGGGCCATATCTCCCTATCCCCCCACCCCATCATGATCCACCCTGCTGCTCTGCAAGGCCTGAAAGGAACCACAGCTTTCAAGCCTCCATCCAGATGCAGTCTGATTTACCCAGGAAGCTCTTTCATATGACTGTTGCCACACTAGCAAAAACAAAACAAAACAAAACAAAACACTGCCCCACCTCAATATCTAAGAGGAATAAGTGGCTCAACCCACTCCCATCACCACCTCCACCTGGCTAGACCACAGTTCTCTGTGTTCATCTCCAAACACGTGTACATTCAAGAACAATGAGTCCAAGAGTTGAATGACATCAGGGATCAGAAGGGAATTGAGCACACCATCTTGAGAAAGAGTGTGATCCCTCTCATTGCCTGTAGACCAAATGGTCTACACATTGTCCTTGGATTTGAATGCATTAGCATATTAAATATAAAAGAAAAATGACTCTGGGACTTATTAAGTCTTTTAGAATGACCATATGAAGCTGTTGTCATTGGGAAGGCACCATCCTCAGTTCTCCATACTACAAAAACAACTGGGGATTTATGACTAAGGAACAGGGCCCGTGGATGGAAATCACTAAAGACATCAAGGACAGGGCGTTCTTTCTGAAAGGACTCAGCGAGGTTCTTGCTGGAGAAGGTCAAGGACTTGCACATCAAATCACAGGTGGAAGCCAAGGGCCTGGATCAGAGCTAAAGACGGGCCGGGGGAGGGGCTTGTCCTCCTTACCTGAAATAGGATTCAGGGTAAGGCCAGGCTAAGGAGGCTGGAGATGGATGGGGACTTCACTTTCTGTTCCTGAGATAAAACATTGACCGAATCAAATGTGGGGAGGAAAGGTTTATTTGGCTTACGGGTTGCAACCCATCATGAAGTTTAGAAGCCAAGGCAGGCACGTGGAGGCCAAAACTGAAGCAAAGACCATAGAGGAATGCAGCTCACTGGCTGCTCCTCGGGGCTTCCTCAGTTTCTTTTCTTTTTACTCTATTTGTTTTTTGTTTTTTATTTTTGGTTTTGTGTGTGTGTGTATTTTTTTTTTTTTTTGGTTTTTTTTGTTGTTTTGGTTTTTGGTTTTTTTGTTGGTTGGTTGGTTGGTTGGTTGGTTGATTGGTTAGTTTTTTCAAGACAGGGTTTCTCTGTGTAGTTTTGGTGCCTGTCTAGGTCTCGCTCTGTAGACCAGGCTGGCCTCTAATAACTCACAGAGATCCACCTGGCTCTGCCTCCCAAGTGCTGGGATTAAAGGCGTGTGCCACCACCGCCCAGCTTTATTTTCGTTTTTTAAGACAGGGTCTTTCTATGTGACCTGGCTGTCCTGGAACTCACTATGGAGACCAGGCTGGCTTCCTAAGGTGATGCCTTTAGGAAGAGAGAAAATGAAGAGTGTTGTCCAGGCAAAATGGCTATGTGCTCAGGAAGCATTCTTGTTGGTTTACCCTGGAATTCTTCCCTTCCCAGGTCTCCAGAACAAGTTCCTGGCCCGCTATGTTTCCCTCCCAAACCAGAACAAGATCTGGACGGTGACTGTGAGCCCAGAGCAAAAGGACCGCACCCCTCTGGTGATGGTACATGGCTTTGGGGGCGGTGTGGGCCTCTGGATCCTCAACATGGATTCATTGAGTGCCCGCCGCACACTCCATACCTTTGATCTGCTTGGCTTCGGGCGGAGCTCAAGGCCAACCTTCCCAAGGGACCCAGAAGGAGCTGAAGATGAGTTTGTGACCTCAATAGAGACATGGCGGGAGACCATGGGAATCCCCACCATGATCCTCCTGGGGCACAGTTTGGGGGGATTCCTGGCCACTTCTTACTCTATCAAGTACCCTGAAAGGTAATGTGAAGCCACCCTTCTTCCTATGAGCTGACTCCATGCCTTACTAGGCATGTTCCAGTATTTATTTCCAATAATACTCTCATTTCCCAGCAACTTAAGAGCTCTGATACTTCCAAGCAAATACAGTGTATCCTCTATTTATTTTTTCTGTTAATGTAGAGTTAAACACCTTATCCTGGTGGACCCATGGGGCTTTCCCCTACGACCAACTGACCCCAGTGAGATCCGTACACCTCCAACCTGGGTCAAGGCTGTGGCATCTGTCCTGGGGCGTTCCAATCCACTGGCTGTTCTTCGAGTGGCTGGGCCTTGGGGTGAGTCACCTTCAGGAGGAGAACTCTGTCTTTAAACTGAGGCCACCGCATTCACCACAGCTTGCCTTGGTGCACCTGGGGTCCTACCATCCTCACTTGTTCATAAAACAGAGGCCCGACCTGGCATTAAAACTGATAATCAGGGCAGCATCTCGTTAGTGGAGGTTTCAGATGATTGATATATTCCCCCCCCCCCATCAGCATCAGCAGATAGAACAGAATGGCTGCCTTATGCATTGGCAGATCCCAGAGAAAGGAAGGGGCTTTGATGTGTGGCTTCTCTGCTTCTCTGCTGTGAGCTTGTATGACAACCTGTCAGTGACTCGGGTTCAGTAACCACCACTGGGTCCCATTCCATGGCTCACCAGCCCCTATAGCAAGGAGAGCTCTGAACCTCAGGTTCTCACATAGCACAGTGACAGACAAGTCCCTCTGAACCAGGCGCTGCTCTAGAGAAGCCCCACATCTCCCTCTGTTCTGGATTTCTTAGCACTGGGTACCTGTCAGGAAAGAGACAGAGACAGAAAGTGGCGGGTCACACTGTAGTGTGTAGTGTTAGGGGCTCTGCATCCTCCCCTCACACTGTCCACAGTGTTAGGGGCTCTGCATCCTTCCCTCACGCTGTCCACAGTGTTAGGGGCTCTGCATCCTCCCCTCACGCTGTCCATAGTGTTAGGGGCTCTGCATCCTCACCTCACACTGTCCACGGTGTTAGAGGCTCTGCATCCTCACCTCACGCTGTCCACGGTGTTAGGGGCTCTGCATCCTCACCTCACACTGTCCACGGTGTTAGAGGCTCTGCATCCTCACCTCACGCTGTCCACGGTGTTAGGGGCTCTGCATCCTCACCTCACACTGTCCACAGTGTTAGGGGCTCTGCATCCTCACCTCACGCTGTCCACGGTGTTAGGGGCTCTGCATCCTCCCCTCACACTGTCCACATGCTTCCCTTTGAGGAGCTTTTACACCGGTGAAGTAAAAAGCAGATTCCTTTTATTGGAAAGATGGGCAGCCCCTGTTTTGTACTGATAGCTTCCGTTTGTATAGAAATGTTCAGTGGCCGCTTGTTACAGTGGCTGAAACAGAAAGAGTGGAAAATGGGCATTGATGTAGAAGGTAGCCCAGGAGTTCTAGAAGAAGGGGAGCAAGCAAGGGACACCGGGGCCAGAGGGAGCAGGTGGGCAGAGGGCTGACCTCAGAGTCCAGGTGGCTCCAGCAGACCCCCTACCATCCTTCCTCCTCTAACCATGCTCTCCTTTCCTGGCCTTGGGTCTGGCCAGGTTCATCCGGGGCTTCAGCCACTGTGTTGGGTGGCTGCATGACAGCCATGGAAGATTGTGTCAGAAGAGGGCAGGGCCTGTGACTACCTACCTCCCCAGACACCTCTCATAGGCAAAACCCCTGCCAGGACAGAGAAAGTGGCCGGTAGGCCCAGTCCTCACAGTGTGCCTGCATGGTTAGCGCTTACATGTGCACTGTGATGAAAGGCGCAGGGCCCCGAGCCTGGGGCAGCAGTGTTGTCAAGGTCCCCTTTCCATGTATTCCGTTACAGCCTGAAAATGAGAGAGTGCTTGGAAAATGGTAGTTTCGTCTGCTTTCATCAGCTACCTTCAGAAGAGTAAAAAGCCGTCAAGGTTCCCATACAGGGGGGGCATGGGGAAACACAACTCAGACTATAAATGAAAATTCTCTCAACTGCAGACCCTCACAGAACTTGTGAACCTAGAGGAAAAGTCTTGGGACTTACTGAAGTGAAAATTACCTGGTTCCTTGGGGATGTTAGGCTGTCGCTAAACTCATTGGTGACCAACAATCAAACTCTGACATTTGAAGTCATCTGCCGCTTCCCAGAAGGCTTCTACGCTCTTTTTGCCATTGTGTGTTAAATGCATAAAGGAAATAAATCCTTAGAGAGATAAATTTGGTTAAGTTTGTTTAAACATAAGCAGGCAGGAGTTTATTCTCTCTCCCCACCACCACCCACACTGGCAGCTCCATGGTTTTTTGTGGGTTGGGTTTGAGTGGTTATTGTTTTTCTTTGGTAGAGGCTTAAAATAGGGTCTTACTGTATCCCCTGACTGACCTTGAACTTGAAACAATCCTCCTGCCTCTGCCTGCCGAGCATTGTAATTGCAGGCACACCCAGCATCACGCTGTTTTTTCTTCAATCCTCTCCCAGGGCCTGGACTGGTGCAGAGGTTCCGTCCGGACTTCAAGCGCAAGTTTGCAGACTTCTTTGAGGACGATACCATCTCGGAATACATCTACCACTGCAATGCGCAGAATCCCAGGTGAGTGCGGCTCCGGGACCAGCCCCGTGGGATGGCTTAAAGAGCTGCATCATCTGATGCTTTATTCCTCTTCCACAAAACCCTGACGCAGGGGAACACAAGCACCAGCAGGCTTGATCATTTCCAAAGAGTTCCCCGGGGGAGGTCAGGACAGGTATAGAAGATACTAGATTTAATTAAACAAGCTGTCCTCTCTAGAGGAAGACCTCTGGGCTTCCCTAGGGATCAGCAACTGGCCTGATGAGCAGCAGTGTGGGAAACATTTCAAGGGCATTTTTTAAACTGAAAAACTGATTTAAAAAAAAAAATTGGTTGTTGGTTTTTGGTTTGATTTTATAGGCAAATGTGGTTTTTGTTTGCTTGTTTGTTTTTAAAGCAAATAGAGAAAGAGAAGCCTTTGCCCATCCACAATCTTCAATTTCTAAATTTCCTCATTTTCAGTTTAGTATGTCGTATAATATTGCTTCAGAGAGACTCCTAGAATGTGTCCCCTTGTATACACCCACGTGATATATCTATAGAATACATGTCTGGAATACATTCACAGAAAAAATATGTATTTATTTCAACTATATACACTTGGAAATGGCTTAGACTTGGTGTAAAAATCCTTCCCCCCTTTTGGAGGTATAGAAGTGTCCTGAGAACTGTGAGAAGTCCTCCCCGTTAGCTGTTGAGAGGCAAGCGCCGAAAGCCTGCTGACTGGCAGTTTGGGCTGCATTGACAGCCAGGACAGAGCCAGGAAAGTAATCTTCTCCCACAGTCAGGCCCTGTGAGAGGCTGATACCAGCAGGGCACATTGGTAGCACCACCCTGTGGAGACCTCACCCTGACCCTGCAGGAGCCATAGACACTAGCCACCTCTTTCCAAGCCTGCCCAAGTCACTGTGCGCCCAAGGCTGGAAGGAAGGGGAGGCTTATCCTTTCGGCAGAACAGTGAGCATTAGTCTCGAGCCAGTATTACACGGGATTACTGCTGACGTTTGGCGGGGTCCCGGGTCAACAGTGTGCCATAGGAACCTCAGCGGTCAAAGCGGGCACCCCCAGCTTCCTGCTCTTTGACTCCCCCCAGCCCCCATGGGCTCATTATCAGCCCATCAGGTGGCCAGTTCTCATTTCCTCCCTCCAGACATCACTCAGTTTTATAACACCAAGCTCTCTTACTGGAGCTGACAAATTTTCAGTAATTCCCATCAGTCCTTTGGAAAACATGAACTCTAGCCAAAGGGAAAATGTTTGAGTGGTACCTTCCTCACTCCACCTAGACCTTGGAGCCCTGTACGTATCTTCATTCTTTTCATCTATCTTGACCTAAGAAAGTGGACATAGTTCCCGCCGGTTCGTGTATGAGAAAATCAAGGTGTATCCTGGCTACTCAACTTGCCAAGGAGACACGATTTAAATTCATGTCGGACAGACTGTAGAGTCTGTGGTCCAGTGTCTCCTGGAGGTGTCCTCTGCTCCTGCTGACATAGACAGAATTCATCCCGGGGTGCAAAGGAAACCAGAAATGTAACTACTCCGAACACGCAGAGCCCAGGAGGGAACATTGTCCTCAACCTCCCTACCTCCCACAAAAGCTGCAAGCTAGTCGGAAAGCTGGCTCCCGGCCCAGCCTCACACAAACCCGATAGGAAGATTGAATTCACATTTTCGGTGCCCCCCTGGCAGCAGCTGCTGAGCCCCAGTCTCAAAAACCTGATGCACTGTCATTCTTGGTCCCAGAGTGTCCTCAGCCCAGCCCTCTTGGTGTAGCACTCACCCTTCAGGGCTCACTCTAGTGAAGTCTCCCTCCATCCCCTCAGCTAAGCCCCTTGCCCATGTTCTATAGCTCTGATCCCTTTTCATAATCCTTAAGAATTTTTAGTTAAAGCATAATTTTCATTAAAGCATAGTCATCGGATTATTTATGTAGCCACCACCTTCCAAAGATATAAGCAACAATGCCAGCCCCAAGCAGGGCAGGTGCCGCATCTGTCCCGTTCCTGTGTCCCTTCACCTAGTCCAGGTGTAAATATGTGTTGCATTAAAACTCACTGTGTCCTTGGCAGCTCCCTGTGTCACGGGGGTTTTCACAAGCATGCCCTGAGGCATGGCACTCATCTCCTGATCTTGTCAATATTTAATGAGCCAGCGCTGGCTATGAGGAGAATATAAAGACAGAAGGTCCAGCCCAGCCTCTGAAATGCAACAAGTTGACATTTTCTGCTTCGGGTTTGTCTAGCTGTCAATTGCCTCACTGTTTTGTTCTGTCAGTGGGGAAACGGCATTCAAAGCCATGATGGAGTCCTTCGGCTGGGCCCGGCGCCCCATGTTGGAGCGAATTCACTTAATTCGAAAAGACGTGCCCATCACCATGATCTATGGGGCTAACACCTGGATAGATACCAGCACGGGGAAAAAAGTGAAGATGCAAAGGCCAGATTCCTATGTCCGGGACATGGTAGGTTGACTTGCCAAGGAGTGGGAGTTGCAGTGGACAGTGGGTGGGAAAGTCTTGGGTGACAAAGGGTGATCAAAATCAGGACGGAAATATATAGATGAGACTGAGCAGTGGCTTTGGAAGGTCCCCACCACTACCACCACCACCACCAAAACCCCTGCTAGATAGTTAGGAATTTCCTTCTTCTGTGCAGTCCAGTTCAACTAAAAGGCAGGTCCCGCCCCCCCCCGCCCCCCCCCCCCCCGCGCCCCCCCCCAGAGCAGCCAGACGCATGCTTCTATTCCAGACCTCCAGCCTCCCCATCCTCCCTACTAAACCAAGGCTGTGAGTAGGAGACTGAACTTCAGAGGTTGTAGTGAAAGACTTCCTACCACACTTCTGTCTCCCGTACCTCCTGCTCCCACTGAGTCACCTATGGTCCTGTGTCCTCCCACTGAGTCACCTATGGTCCTGTGTCCTGCACAAAACAAGCAGACCAAGGGTGAGGCTTAGGAGCAGGAAAGGCACAGTGGTTGTCCCCTTAAAACAAAATGGCCTTTTGACATTCATCGCCTCCCTAAGGAATGTGCAGCCTCCAGAGAAAAGGTAGGGTTTTGCTTCTGAGAAGAGCTCAGGGAACAGGCCAGCAAGCCCTGGGGGAGGGAGAAGAAATGGTGAGACCACTTCCCAATGCTGCGACTCCAGAGCTGAGCCACCACTGTCATTGTCTGTCCACAGGAGATCGAGGGTGCATCGCACCACGTCTATGCCGACCAGCCGCACATCTTCAATTCTGTGGTAGAAGAGATCTGTAACTCGGTTGACTGAGCTGCTCTGAGAGGAAGAGGGGGAAGCCAGAGTTGCCGTCACCTCCCTGTCTTAGTCAGAACCTCTGTCCTTTCCTCACCAACTAACACATGCCAGCCAGGCAGAGTCGGGCTCCCGAGCTCAGACCACAGTGAAAAAGAGCACTTCTGATCCCATGCTGAGGGCAAGAGGCAGAATCCACAAGAGGCCTTGAACTCCCCACTCTGGGGAAGAGCATAAAGGGTTGCCTAGTGCCGCCCATTCTCTCCACGCCGCCGAGTGTGACCAGGTGTTGATTATGAGACTGCACAAGCCATGCCGTCTCCCTGCATGGCCTTCCCTTCCTCTGACAGAGGAAGGCTCCCAGCAGCCTTTCGAGTTTGGGAATGTGTCTGAGAGTAGGTTCCATACAGGAACATATTCCTTCTCCATTACTCCATGCCGCCATCCAAACCCGGCTCCCACTTAACCCACCAAGAGCAGCCCTGTTCACCTGCACAGCCCCTTCCATGACTTTGGAGGTCATAGCCCAAGCCCTTATTGGCCGATGAGGAAAGAGATCAGGGCAGGATGGAACACAGCTCTGCGTGATGGGTTCCAGCAGAACTGAGTCTACAGCCCAGGTCTGCTGCCTTCCAGCACGTGTTGCCTGCTTCATTCACTAAGGTTCCACACAGACACCACTGCTGTGGGGCTGGTTTAAAGCTAACCTTGCTCCATATTCTAACCTGTTATACGGGCACACTATTACCTTGCCCTGTGTCTCAATCCTGGTTGCCTAAGTTGGGACACTCGAGACCCTTCCCCTTCTTCCTCCCACTGTGAGGCTCTAAGCCTCTTCTGTGCCTTGGGCCCTAAAGCCCCATGTGTAGTGTAGAGGGAAGATGGCTCCTGGTGGAGAAGGGGGAAGTCCCTTCTACCTTAGAGTCATGTCTGCATTCACAAAGCCCACAAGCATCTGCAGCATTTTCTACCAGAGCTGAGGTCCCCTGAGAGCTCCTGCCCATGGCTCACTGAGGAGCTTAAAGCCAACTGTTCTCTGTCCGCATCAGTCACAAAGTGCTTCTCGCTGCCTGAGCCTCTATGCCTACCATCTGTCACCATGGTCTCCAACTCACTCTGCTTCAGAATCACCCGTCAGCCCTCTCCCATGGATTTCATTCCAGGTCCTGCTCTAAGGCTTGGGGTACTAGGCTGGGCCTGGCCCCAGAAGCAGGGCAGTTCCTTCCTGCTCCTTCTCTTTTATAAAGCCAACCCTTCACCAGAATAGTATTAACTCCTGGTGCTTTGTACTACCAGTCCAGCTGCCTCGGCCTCCTTTTCTATATTAATAAAGAAGAGTAAAAACTGTTGGTTATGACGATGTTTAATATTGATCCAACAAGACCACTGCCTCACAACAGTCCATGCAATCCCCAAACAAGAGAACGGAACCAAAGACATACCACTTATGCGCCACTGCCTCTCACAGACTGTCTCAGCCTCCTCACCATGGGAGAGGAGTCAGTCCAGAGCACAGATGGTTTAAACCTCAGTCAACAGGAGAATTATGAGGTGTTGGGTGCTATGCTCTGCCCAGTCAGTACCTGTCAGCCTAGGTCTAGGCCTTCACTACCCTGCTCCCCAATTTCCATCCATTCTCTGAGTCTCAGCTCAGATGTTCCTTACATGGAAACCTGCCCCTTCCACCTCCCCAACCTAGAAGTTCCTATGGTATGTCTCCACTGAGACTCAACTGCCCCTCTTTGAAACTGTAAACTTGGGGCTGAAGAGAGGTGCTCAGTGGCTAAAGAGCCCTTGCTGCCCTTCCAGAGACCTGGGTTGAGTTCCCAGCACCCATGTCCCATGTCCAGCAGCTATCTGAAACTCCATTCCCAGGTGGATCTCACATGACACCTCTGGCTTCTGCAGTCATTTGTACAGGTGTACCCACATGGATGTGCACACACACACACACACACACACTGACCCATCCCGCGGGCCAGGTTATTGGGGAGACCCGAGGAGGCACCTCCTGAAAGATCAATGGGGGCGAGAGAGAAAGGAGACCAGGCGCATAAGGGAAGACAGAGTCAGTCTGAGTCGCGTCAAGGTCTCATTTATTGACTGGGTATTGAGGCTTATAAGCAGGGCTTCAGGCAGGGAGGGGGAGCAGGGGAAGCAAAAGGAGAGAAGAATGGAAAATTCCTAAGGAAGGGTGAGGTCGCTTTGGTCCCAGGTCCCTGCAGCTGGCTGATTAGCACGTACTCCAGGAAGTTGTACAGCCCGTGGTTAGGCCAGGAACCTGTTTTTGCAAGGTTTGATAAAGTAAGGAAGGTCACACAAAATTCAAGACACAGTTGTCCGGAGTCGGTCTCCAACAGTTCCCCCTCTTTTCTCAAAAATGGACCAAGTCCATGTGATGGGGGTGGCTAGGGTCCGAGAGAGTCCCTGTCTTAGGCTACACAGGGGGCTTCCCACGCTCGGCAGCGTGCCATGTTGAGCCGGTCTCGAGGACCTCTGTACGCTGTTGTCTCCGGCGTGGGCCCTGTACTATTCCTGTCATTGGGTACCCTCTAGCAAGACCGTGGGGACATTAGGGTCTTAGGACACTGAATCTGAGTCTTTGATGGGGCTCCTGGCCGATCTCCTCGGAATCTACTCTATGATAATGAATCGAGACGTGTTGTGGTAAGGCCGAGTCAATCTGATTTTTGATAAACCGAGTCAACCGCTGAAAGGCCCAGGGACCAAAGGTAATGAGAAGGAGAAAAACAATTAAGGGGGCTAGAATGGTAGGTAGCAAGGCGGAGAGCCAGGGGGACCCTTGCAACCAATCTTCAAACCACCCGTGCTGATTTTTAAACTCCCTTTTTCTTTGAACCAGCCTTTCCCTTAATTTTTCCATCGATTCCCTGACAATACCAGTATGATCGGCATAAAAGAAGCATTCTTCCTTCAAGGCTGCACTGAATTCCCCCTCCTTTAAAAATAGTAAATCCAGACCTCTTATGTTTTGTAACACAAACTCAGAGAGCGAGGTTAAAGATTTCTCCAGAGCAGAAATGGATCTTTCTATGGCCTCTAAGTCAGTAGTCATAGCCATTTGTAACTGCATAAGGTGGTTGCTCTGCACAAGGGCAGTAGTTCCTGTACCAATTCCTGCAGTGATGCCCCCAATACCTAACAATAGGGCAATAGTCATAGACACAGGTTCTCGAGTGTATCTGCCTCTCTGCTCAAAGAATTCCATATCGGAGACTAATTGGACCAGAACATAAGATTTTCCCATTATCAATGGCAAAGCGAGCTTCCCCTTATTCAGTTTTTGCCATCTGCAAGTGTGTCATGGGTTCAGAGGTGGATATTGGAATTCTAGCATCCTCCGTTTAGTGGTACCCAGACATGAATCATTATTTAGTTAAGACATCAGTGATATAAGAGCCAACAGTAATTAGCAGAAGCACAAGGACCAAAAGCCTTGTGATGGCTGACAGAGTTCCTTATTCTTAAGGAACTTGGAACTTTATCTCAGGTTCCCTATGACAAGAAATTCCCTTTTGATCTAACATTCTGGGGGGGCGGGAAACAAGGGCAATGTTTTCTCTTCTGTAATTACTTCCTGCTGACATTGGGACGTTGTTGTCAAGGCCCTGGAAAGCCAGAATGTTAGTCAAAGACAAGAGGGAGCGTTCTATTGACCAGCTGAAGAGATGGTATGCATATCGGCTGAATTGGTCCATATCAGCTTTCAGCAAGTTCAGGGCTCACAGTCATTTGCAGTAGGTTGTCACCAGCAAATGATGTTTGAATATATCTGTCAGCCAAGTGGAAACCTGTTGAGATAGATATAAACTAGGAATAGGAGTTAAAACTTACGAACTTATTTGGAACTTTTAGACCCATAGTCTTAGTAATTGTAGTATTATCAATTTGCCCTGAAATCCATAGTGTCTTTTCTATCTAGAGAGTCAAGTATAGATTGGACTGAAATTTCCTTGGCCCAATGAAAAGCATCTGTAAGTCTATATTTAGAACCTGTTTATCTTTTTTTAAAAAGACTTATAAGCTTTAATTAATTAATCCATTGATCAATCAATTACTAAGCTGAGAAAGCTACAGCTAGTCCAGTCAGCAAAGATCTGAGAAGGATAAACTTTACCTGAGTGCAGACTTTTAAATCTATTTAAAAAACAACAGAGACTATCCATTACCCAGACTGCCATCATCCCAGGCTCCTATAGTCTTCAAAGTGTTGGCAGGACAGGTGTCAGGACAGCATCAGTCTTGGCTGCTGGGCCCATAATGTGAAATTTTTCCTGTTGAGGAGCAACTTGGTAAAAACTGACCTTATCTTGTCAGTGTCTCATAGGCCAAATCCCTGGCAGCAGGTGTTGAGTCAGAGTGTCTTGCCCAGTGGTCAGTGTTGTCCACAATTCAGGTGGCATCTTCTTGTCATTGTTTCATATCTTTTTTGAAGACCTTGGGAGTCATTGCTAGGAGCTGGGGAGCTTGGAGTCTCTGTTTGCTATAGTAAGCTTTTTATCAAATAATGTAAATGCCATATTTAACAGATCTTTGACAGGTTTGAGGACCATTATCTATTAAATGTATCTGAGCCAAACAAATCTAGGCCCAATCTTGAAAATATCTCTAAGTTTGGTAACAATAACCAGGCCAATTTGTTCTCTTATAGATATATTAGTTAAATATACCTCTCAGTTTTTTTTTATTAAAATAGAACAGTTTATGCTTTAAACTAGTATCTGAATAGCCAGATGACTAGTATTAACTTGTATTCCTTAACATAAAGGACATGCAAACTCAGACATTCAAAACCAAACATACATGTGGCCACATTTTTCATTCATACCTGTACAGTAGACAGACATTTTTACAATTATGACCCTTTGGAGTCTCAATGTAACAGCAGAATAGCAAGACAAAGAAATCTGAAACATGTTTCATTTTTTTTTATATATCTCAAGTCATTCATTTTTTTTAAATCATTATTTAAGCCTTTTTATCCTCAGACCTTTATACCTTGCTTTTACGTATTCTAATAACTTGTATTTTATATATTTTTTTAAAACATTTTTTTTAATCTTAGCCAACAATAATTTGAAACCAGTTCTCTTAAATGATGGCAAGTATTTGTAACCCATTGCACTCAAATGACCAAAACCCATGTTAATTTTTATTTTTCCTGTGGAAACAAAAGCATAATTTTCCCAGTATCTTGAACTGGTGCTTTAACATTTCTTTTTAAGCAATATCAGGACAGAGAAGGGTTAACAAGAGAAGCTACTGGCCTGCAGAAGAGACCTTGAAGTTATCACAGTAAAGGAAGGGAAGGGGAGCAGTGGGCATAGAGCATGTCCTTGGCTGCCAGTGTTCCTGAAAAAAGTTTTTGTTAACTCCTCTGACTAAAGTCAGATTCTCTGCTCAGTGTTCACACAGTTTTTTGTCAATTGCAGGCAGTCCCCATTGCCCTGTCGAGAGCTCCTGTCTTTACCCGCCTGTATGGAGAGCACGCACCCCCACCCTCGTGAGAGCGGCCAGCTGGCTGCAGTCCTAATAGCAAGAGAGCTAGGGAGGGACGGAGGTGGCCTTAGTTATGCCTCTCTTTCCTCCTCTTCCTTTAGGAAAATAAGGGAGGTTAGTAGACAGAAACAAATAACATTTACACAGACAATCCAAGAACCGGAACATCAGCACTGAGCCTCATTCACAGCCAGCAAGTCCCTCTTGCAGTATGCAAGTCCCACCTGGCAGGAGCTACCTGTTTATCTCAGTTCAATCAGGGAGTGGGGGTGGGGGACCCAGTTCCCTCTATTGTGGCTCAAACATCCTTCCAGTGGGCTAGGCAAAGGTCTAGTGGAGAAGAAGGGAACTGTCCCATAGCGTCCGTCACAGTCAAGTCAACAATGAGAACAGTTAATACATTACACACAAGACCAAAGGCACACGAAAAAACTTTGCCCCAACAAAACAACCAACAAAGCTCCAAGAACAATGACAGCCTGATGTGCTCTGGGTGGGGGGGGTAACCCTCCAGGCTCAATCACATCAAAAACAATCCAGACTCGAGGATCTCTGTCCTTAATCAGACAGACATCAGGGGCTTCCACATCCCTGTCAGTCAGACATGCACCTTTTTTTTTCTTGGAAGAGAAGGAGAGAGTAAAGTAACAATGATCACAACAAAACATACAAAAAAACCCCCACAAAATGGCTCTGACAAATTCCCGGGACAAAATACAAAGTGGCACTTCCTCCCACCGTGGGGGAAGATACCCAAAGATGCTCCTAAACCAAATGGTCACCTCTGAGGTGGCCTTAGGGCTCTGGGACGTCTCCCTTCGCCTCAAGG